AAGTAACTCAACACTCCTTCAACACTATACATATCCCCAGATAATAATACCAGGTCACATAACTGATTAGATATTTTAACAATATCTAACATTCAGCTCATTAAAAATATTACACGAAAAAAACCTTTGGATTTCACTTTCCCCATAAATCACATAACTTTCTATACCTCAATATATTAAATACATGAAAACTGTAGTTTGAAAAAATCCTGACTTATTTACGACTGAAGCACAAGAAAATTGCACACAATGTTGTGGACAGAATAAATTAAGGCAAAAGAATCATAAATAACAGGGTATCACTGCCCTGTTTGTTTGAAACGTCACTATCCAAACTGTCTTCTGCTTTTGGCATTAATAATTAAGTACCTACATGCATTTCAGAAATAACCTGAAATGGAAAAAAGGAAGGCATCATGAAATTATGGTACTTACAGGTACCATACCTGCCAAACGCACTCTGATCATTAATTTTAGTATTTTTCATCAACCAGGAAAGAGTTGTAATGAGTCACTGAATAAGCCTTTTGTGAGTTAAACGTGAAATCAAAGCTGAGTTCTTGAAATTCACATGAGTAAACTTAAATTTTTCATACTGAAGACATTATTGCTATACCTCATGATTCGGGACAAGCTTTTGCTTGGTTACATATGTGACACCTTCCACAGCATTTTCCATGGATAAGAAGGGCACAAAGGAACCAGTCCATTCCAGAGATGGTGGTGGCTATGCATAAACTTACCCTAAACCACATTGTTTAGCAACAGTGTCTTTAGTCTGTGGAATTGAATCGTTGTGTTTAACAGCAATCAGATAACTCAGTGAATCAGTTTCCAAATTGAACTCGCAAAGGTTTATTGTTTGACTCGAGTCAACGTGAATCACTTTAAAAGTGGGTTTAGTTGAGTCAGATCATTTTTAAGAAGTGATTCACATCGAGTCATTAAGCCAAAAAGGCCCAGTCGAGCCCTAATTGTCAAATTGAAATCAATTTGAGTCACTGAGATTTGAACAATGTCCGATGAAATGTCATAATTTTAAGAAACTGCCTGAATGTGCCACAGCTCATGAAGCCAAGAACCATACATTTTATTTAAGTTCTGAATCTAGGATAGTTGATGGTACACATTGTTTAATAAACCACATGGTTGGAATCTTTCAAAACAAACAATATGCCAATGATTTAGGTGCAAAACTAATTTCAAACTGAAGTGCTATGAGCCGAAGGTCTGTTTTACTCCGGACAAATTCACCTATCTAGATAAATATACATATTTAGATAAATAAGGATGAAATATTAAACATCTAATCATCAGACTGAAGGACAAATAAAGGGATATCTGTACATTTTAAAATATATACAAGAATTCTTTCATTACAATTTTCACCCGAAAATATACAGTGTCATACTAAACAATGATTTTAAAGTAGAAAATTTTTCAGCCCCCTACATGTATAATATGCTCATTTAGATGAAGATTTTAGTAAGAATCACTGCAGAGCTGATTCTCTGTATTTTTCAGGAAGTACAATTGTTTTCATTTGCATTCTCAGTTTACACTGCACTTGAATGTCCAAGTAGTTTTCTGATACATGCAAATGGCATTTTCTACAGTACTGTGCTGTGGTGATTGACAAGAATACCCGGTACATTAAGCTGAAACGAGGTGGTTTGCCTTACCAAGAGCCGGCCAACAGGAGTCTCTGTACTGAAGGAATATGGAGAGATCTGTTTGGTACCTGGAACATGATTGGTTAGACAAACCAGGTGGTCCTCCCAAATCCCTGAGCAATGCTGGTCAAGATCTGTTTGCTCTATGGGGGGGGAGAGAAAGAAAGGAGGGAAGCAAAAACAAATTGAATCATGACACAGCCGAATTCCCAGTGCACTTTTGCCGGGGGAAATTCTTGCATCTTTGAGAATCCATTTCTGTAACGAGTCACTGAATTTTGAGACTCAAATGGAGTCATTATCGGGATGTGCCTCGAATTAGGTCAAGTCATTAATCAAGAAGGTGGATTGCGAGTCACAGTGTACAGTTCAGTCAAGTCAAGTAAAATTTGTACTTGAGTCACTCTGAAGTCACTGATACTTTAATGCCATTAACAAATTAACAACAGAGAGATGCAGATCGGGTTGGGGTTCAACCACTAATTGTCATATATGAAAAAACATGCATAAGGCACAGCTTTGTCGACAGATATCCCCAAAATTTCAAAATATGCTGAATAGGATCCAACAGGCAGCTTTTGCTGCACGATTCTATAAAGGATTACAAAGTAGTCTTAATGAGTGAAACGAGATGAATCTTGTGAAGGAATTGAGTGGAGTGACATGCTTGCAGCAATTCGAGTTGAGTATTACAGTTACCCATGGGGACTTGAGTTGGGTCGCCCAAAAAATGGATAAGTCTAACACAAGTTAAGCCATTAACTCAAGTGATTTAATATAATTCTGCCCAAATCCTCTACTTTGGAGGAAACCAATGACACATAGTCTATGTTAAAATTTCCAAGAGATATAAAGCTGTAATTAATATTGATTGGTCTTCACATTACCAAATCCTGAAAAATTCTCTAAAACATCATGTGGTAAGAGTTATGGTAAAAGTCTTCAAGTCCTTTAAAGCTCCATTAATTTATCTAGAAAAACAGATGTTTAAAAATTTGCACAGTTTCTGTGCCTTCACAGAAGGGGCTCAACCAAATCCTGAATGGATGTACAAAATGTAGAACTTCACAGCAGTCTTGTATTCGTGAATTCCTAGTTCCGGTCAAAACTGTCCAGTCCTAATCCTAATCAAGTCCAAATCCTGAGTGCAACTCCCAAAGTCACAGAAATAAAATCTTCATCATTAGCCAGATATAATTCTTTAAATAAAAGGGCTTCTTGGGTGTAGCGACTGCAACTGGCCAATACACATGGGATTGATGACATTTCTAGAGATATTCATGGCTTTTTGATCAATCTAAACATGAAAGTGACTCCTCACAGAATCCCAGGATTCAAGAAAAATACAAAACCTTAATGGCCCTTTCAGATTGTGCTGAATTCATTTAAAAACAAGCAGAGGCACTCTGCAATGCAAATGAGGTCTACAGGCTGAAGAGTTATATTCACAGGCAAGCCCTACCAGTTGTTTTAAAAGGCATAGACAATCCGATCCGCAGCAGTGCCACTGGAACACTGTGCAGGTTTCACCTGTTTAACCTAGGGGACAAGGCAGTAGGGATGCCAAGGTAATCCCTGACATTCTCCTTTCTACACGGGGCAATCTCGCGAGGAAGAATTTCCTGACTCAAAACAACTTGACTAGAAATCAAATAAAGTTGCAGCTTAGGGGGAAAAAAGTGCACTTGGATAATTTGCCAAACACAGACATGATGCACTAGTGTCATGGTGTATTTTTTGGAGTAAATACCGAAATGGTCAACAGTCCTAGATCTATCAAAATCAATTAAAACCAACAGCCAAATATTCAACAGACTGACTCTAAAGGCCAGTTAACAAAAGACTCCAAAAAAGACAAAAGTACAATACAATAGATGTTTGAAATGGGTAGTTACAACCAATCCCTTCCAACGGACCTCACATCCTTCAGAGATATAGCATGCTCAAAATGCTGAGTATGTCTGTGAGCCACTGCCAATCCAAAGTACCCTCCACCGAAATACACAACATGCACATCACTGGATAAAAACCCACAGCCGGCTCGAAAGACTAATTTTGACCATGGTGTAGCAAGTCCCAAGGTTATCCTTACTGAGTTGCAAAGCGTGACTCACAGAGTGGTGTTTTTGGTTGGGAGAGACAGAGCAAAGTGCTTGTACCGTACATCCAAGGCATTCTGCTGGATGCTGGTTAATACTACACGTGAAATTACATAACCAGTGTTCAGCAATGTTCAGAGTTTTTTTTTTGGCAGGAAACAAAAGCAGTACAGAGTTGAGCTACAAGAATATGAGCTTTTCTTTTCATAAAGGGTTCCCAGTTAAACACGCACACCAGTTGAAAACTGGTTTTTGCTCATTTGTGTTACACAAGACAATTTTGTTTGTACAAATACATGTAATAGAGTTGTGTATCACTGGTATGCACTGCTTTATAAACCCACTGCATGAACTGAGGGTGAAACAGCAGAGGCACAAAGTTTGGCTGGGACTTCAATGTTCACAGTGTAACGTGGGACACAAATGATATGTGTGAGCTAATTCCTGGTCAATTCTACCTCTTCTGCCGAACGTGCGGTGTTGTCTTACAATGTTAGGCATGTTGATACGCTGTGAGATTTTTGGGGTTTACTGCAAACGAAACGAACTGGGAAATGCAAAGCTATGGTGTGTTACTCAATACTGGCTCAATACAGTTTGACAGGAAAGTGGTATTACAGAACTTGCTGTGGTACACATTTATAAATCTCTAACTCAATACTAAGTCTGTTTAGTATGAAGAATGAATTCTCTGAAAACTACACATTTATGAACTGATTATATGCTTCCCACTGGATCCCTAAAAAAAAAAGAAATCCCCTATACCGGAATGGCCAAAACCACTCTAGAATGAAGGCAAGCTTTATCAATACTGACCCAGCATCAACAGCAAGAAACCAACGGGATTATGACTTTTATAACCTAAAAAAAAAAACTTGTCTAATACAGTCGATACAACTTTTGGCCTACATTACGGTGCACATATTTGTTTGGGCTGAAACAAATATTCAATCAATGAAAAAGTTTCATGAAACACTCGACAATACTCCCCTCCTGTACACTAAAAGTAACAGTAAAATACCCCCCAAAAAATAAATAAATCAATAAAATAAAAAAATAGTATTCAAGGCTATTAACTTTACAGGGTGTTGACACATAACCACTGAAACAAGCAGTAACTTATTTCTTCTTGTAAACTTGTTTGTATTTTGTTGTTGATTTGTTTTCTGTTTTCCCTTTAGTTACTGTGTCTGTACATCTGTCTAGTTCACTGGGATACATTACAACACAAATGCTTTCCTTCTTTGTACTCCTGAACGTAGACCAAAACACAGCCACTCCAATTAATGCTCACAAGTTTTATCTACCTTAATACTCAAAATGATTTATCTGATTGTGTCAGATAACTGTTCATGGAAATGCTGGGCATGAAACAGGTGTGATTAGCAGCAAAACAAAAGATATGTTTTGAAGTAAGTCAGAGTTATACCAAATGGTCCGAGATATAAATGCAAAAAAACAAACAAAAAACTTGTCAATTCGACTTTAGACATTATCAAAAGCAAACAAAACATAACTCACTCAGTAATATTAAACTATTCCTGAAAATAGATTTGTTTCAAGGTAATTGCCCAAAACCCCTTTTCTCCTTTCTTCATTTCTTTTCCTTTACATGTATTTTCATTTTTCAGGGGCCCCCTTGTGTCACCCTCCCTCTTGTGACAAATTTAGTAAGTCAGCGGGTCACAACCTGGACATCCCATATATAATGATTGCCTCCACACTCCATTATAAATTTTGGCCCTTTACATGTAACTTGACACATCTTTCAATTAGCTTCTTGGCACTGTCTCTGACTTGCTTGAGTTCGCATCAATTGCTTATAATTTCATGTTGTGTCCCCCCTCCCCTCTGCCTGAGGTATGATGATTCAGGCATAAATTACATCCCTCTCTGGTTACATCCTTCTCAGGTGTCTGATTAACGCCATCAGGAAATCACATTGCATCAAAAGCATTCATTCCCTCTGCAATGAACCGGCCACTGGCGATTTCCAAAAAGATTTCCACCATCAGTTGATGTAATCCATGATCCAAGCCAAATCTGACCAAACAAATGTCACTGCACATGAACAAGGAAAACAAAGCTGCATGTGTTTCATCATCGTAAATAACCGAATCGCTTTCAAAATCTCTCTCTCCCCTTTCCTTGAATCGCAGCTGGTAAACATAGAGTCTGGATAATAGTAGTGTTCATTCCCTGCAGTTTTAATGCATTTGGCCAACATCCAATTAATCTTCTGAAACTGTCAAAACTACGTGCATGGGGGGCACGATTTTTTTCCAACCACTTTACTCTCAGAGCACATTAGCCCATCCTGCCGATTCAGACACCGAAACATGATTTCAGGCGTATCAATCGCCCAGCCTTGATGACACTTGGACTAATTCCGTGATAAAAATTGCCATTAATCTCACGTGTCACCCAGGGATCCATCAAATCCAAGACACATTGGTCTTTCTCAGTGTCAGTGGCTTGTAACACCGGTAGAGCAAAGTGTGGAAAATTTCTGTTTTTCTCTGTGGATTAAAAGCTCTTTAATGGTGTAATAGATCAGTGGGGCATTCCTGGAAAGTATGGCACCCAAAACAATTTGTCCATTATCCAGTTCACTGATGTTTGCTTTATGAGTAAGCAACACCTACAGAATGGTAACCTGTAGTGATGTACACTTGGCAACATGGTGATGTGCGTACACGCATACAGTGCAAAACCTTGACACACTCTTTTTCCGTGAATTTACTGATTAATTCAGACAACCAATTTCTGAATACTGGTGTGCTGTGTTTGTATAATGACAAAGACCTTATTTAGTGATCCTAAGTCCCCTGCTATTAACAAAAAGGTAAACAAGCTACAGAAATGCTACCATTACTTTCACTGAAAACATTGGCAAGGGTGCTTTTAATATGCCCTCCTGTCCAACATCAAAGCATTTAACCTTCTCATTACGCCTTGACGTACATCTACAGTAAATCTAGTTGATCAGGTGTCCAAATACCCTATCCTGGACACAAGGGTTGAAAAGAAAGCTTTTCACAACA